GTGGTTAGGACCCTAAAATTAGCCTTCGTACCAGATTTCAGCCAGATCGGTGAGGTTAAGTGGCCGTGATCTTTTTAAAAAGTTCGAAAGTTACTGACCATTGCTCTTAAGGCATCGTTTGAGTAACCCGAAAAATGTATGATAATACTAAGAGTAACAACACACGGAATTTAGTATTGAGCTTTTAGATACCTCGATGGTGCATCTGTGGTAATCATTGAGTCTAACTGATGTCTCTAAAGAACATCAAATCACATTTCATGGCCTTTTTAAACATATACACGAGCAATTATGCATTAAAGACCTTCGCCGTTTCCGCGCTAGACATTCAAGTTTGTATTAAAGCGCGAACAGTGGCTTACTACTACTTACTAAAGGGCTATTGATACTGCAATCGTCTCCTTAATCTTTTTTTTTTTTAAAGTTTCCCTTTTTTCCAGATGGCAGTAATTTCTTAAGGTCAACAGGAATGAAGATATTCCTTACCGTGGTAGCTTGCTGCAAATCCAGACCTTACAATTGAGCCATCGCTGGTGAAGATGACAAAAAGCTGATTGGATGAGCTTGTAATGGCTGCAGGCGAAGAATTTCCATGATATTTCCCGATCAAAGGTGAGGACGAGGATCCACCATCGTACACGTAGACAGAATCGAAACTGCTTTCGGTATCGAGTCTGAAAAATACCAGTTCCAGGTTGGTATTAGAAAATATGCTCCAACTGCAGTACATATTGTCGGAGTGGGAACCATCTCTGTTTGAATATATCATTCCACTTGTACTGGACCGAACAGTCAAAACGTTTGCACATGAACTTGAGGCTGTGGCAAATAGCTTCCCTGAGACTGAAAAACAAAAGGAAGATAAAACGTAGTGGGGTCACAGAGGGAAAGAAAAAGCGAATTCACTCGCATAGTCACCTACAGACTCGGTTGAAATGGGACATACCGGCTTTAATCTCTCTTTCTTATTCAAGATCCACACAAGTCATTTTAATGGCCTTGAAACGACTTTCTTTATTTTGTACGTGCTTTATTGCATTTTCGGTGGTATATCAATATATATATATAGCTGAAACAACATGCGTTATCAGAATACAGACGCGCAAATAATTGGTATCACGCTGTCGTCACCCTTTTTAAGGCCGATCAATTTTCGGATTTCTCTTTCTTGGTTTTTCGTTTTTGTTTGTTTGCTTATTATTTTTATTCTTTTATTGTATTTTTTATATACATTGTTGTGGTTTTTGACTCAGACAGCTGATATGATTTAGAAAAGGAATATCTAAATGACCTCTCAGCTTGAACTGTTACAGAACAACCTGTAGGTAACAACACAGATTACACAGGGATAGAAGGTGAAATTTCGGAACAAGGAACTGATGAAAAGGTCGAGCTGTTGCCTAGCAAGATAAGAACCAAAGAGAGTTATAAAAACGTTTCAAGTGCCGAAATAACAAAATTATTATCCCCGACAGCAGGAACAAAAAACACCAGAGAAATCAATAAACGAAATGTCCAAGTTGTCCAAGTCCAAGCTGAATGAGAAAGAACGGTTAGTGCGGTAGTTTAAAACTCAGAAACAGCTACCACTTGTTTAGTATAGTTCTGTGTTTAAAAATAACACATTAAAAAACAACAACAATAATTTAATACATATCCAAGCTGGCATCTCTGTCACACATTTTTACAAATCTATATTGTAGATTACTTTATGAGAGTACAGATGCACGCTCATGTCATCTCTATTCAATTGGAAATATGGTTTGTTTTGGAAATTGTGTGTAAACGAATGGAAAAATAATGTTTTTTTATAAAACAAGCAAAAAAGCCTGGACTGTGCTCTCTTTTGTTTTAAAGCACTAAGGAAGCAGCTGTAAGTAGAGAAAACAATCGACTACGTCTCCTATTTCTCCCCTACAGCACTTTCCCGCTTTAGCCGCT